ACCATTAAAAAAAAAAAAAAAAAAAGGTAGTGCCTTCACGTGGTTAATATCTCAGCTATTTAAAGATCTCTCTCCTCCACTCCAGCTCTGGCCCTCTCCCTTCTGGGGAACTGAGGTTGCCCCTCTCTTCTGTATTGTTCTGTCCACACACAGCCCTATGAATGTCGGTGCATGTGTGCCAGTCCCCGGCATGTGTGTCAATGCAGCAGGGCGTGTGTTACTCACTGCTGCGGTCACTTCAGTACCCCGGGTTCGCATTTCTTGTGGCAGTAGAAATTGTTTTCAGCTGAATCATGTACCATACTGTAATTATATTTTACTTTTTGAGGCCTCTGAACGTAATACTTTCCTTGGTTGTTAGTTTGCAGAGTTTTCCTTTATATATATATATATATATATATATATATATATATATATATGACAGGCAGAGTTAGACAGTGAGAGAGAGAGACACAGAGAAAGGTCTTCCTTCCGTTGGTTCACCCCACAAATGGCCGCTACGGCTGGCGTGCTGCGCTGATCCGAAGCCAGGAGCCAGGTGCTTCCTCCTGGTCTCCCATGCAGGTGCAGGGCCCAAGCACTTGGGCCATCCTCCACTGCCTTCCCGGGCCACAGCAGAGAGCTGGACTGGAAGAGAAGCAACCAGGACAGAATCCGTGCCCCAACCGGGACTAGAACCTGGGGTGCCGGCGCCGCAGGTGAAGGATTAGCCTAGTGAGCTGTGGCGCCGGCCTTTTTAGATATTTTTAAAGCATTTACCTATTTATTCATTTGTGAGGCAGAGAGAGATAATGTGAGCGATCAAGTATCCTCCCGTCCTCTGGTTCACTTTCCAGATGCCTGCACAATGACCGGGATTGCACTGGGTTGAAGTTGAGAGCTAGGAGCACAATCCAGCTCTCCTGCGTGGGTGACAGAGATCCAGTGACTTGAGCCATCACTGCTGCCTCCCAGAGTCTGCATTTGCAGGAAACTCAAGTCCAGGAGCAGAGCCAGGTGTTGAACCCATGTACTCCCACCTGGGGTGTGGGTGTCTTAACTGATAGGCTAAACACCCACACTGAGTTTGCTTAGTGTTGCCTTAGTTTGCTTGCTATCAATCACACACTCCTGAAACTTTAAAGGAAAATACTGTATGCATCTTCTGTCACAATGAAGAAATCATCACTTTTTTTTTTTTTTTAAGATTTATTTATTTACTTGACAGGTAGAGTCACAGACAGTGAGAGAAGAGAGACAGAAAGGTCTTCCCTCCATTGGTTCACTCCCCAAATGGCAGCAACGGCTGGAGCTGCGCCGATCCAAAGCCAGGAGCCAGGTACTTCTTCCTGGCCTCCCATGTGGGTGCAGGGGCCCAAGCACCTGGGCCATCCTCCACTGGCTTCCCAGGCCACAGCAGAGAGCTGGATCAGAAGAGAAGCAGCTGGGACTAGAACCGGCGCTCAAGCGGAGGATTAACTTAGTGCGCCGTGACGCCGGCCCCAAAATCATCACATTTTTTTCCCTCTGAGACATGCCTGTCCCAGATCCCTCTCTTCTGGGGCTTCCGGTCTGGAGCCTGGCTAAGCCTTGGCTTCTGTTTCCCAGAGCCCAGGCCTCCCTTATACTGGCACGAAGCTGGTTCTCCACCAACCTCCCGGGCTGTGAATGTCTGAAAGTGCACCCCCTGCCCGGAGATAGTTTGGCTGGATGGAGAATCCGGAGAGGAGGAGTTTCTTGGAGTGAGTGCAGCCATTGACAGTTCTTTCTGAGCCCTGGGGAGCGTGATGCTGACCTGATTCACGGTCAAGAGTCTGCTTTTTTGCTCACCAGAAGCCATTGGAATCCCCGCCTTATCTCAAAGTCTAAACATTCTCAAGGAAGCCCCAGATTCTCCCCCTCTGCTCCCCACCGGGCATCTGGCTCAGTTTGGGCCATCTTCCTGAATTACCCCTCCTCTCCCTTCCACGTTCTTTCCGGATCTCTTCCTCACCAGTGGGTGGGGTGCTAGATGGCTGTTTGGGGCTCGTGGCCTTTCCCGCTGAGCTTCCCAGGAGACTGAGCCTGGACAGCCACTCCTCCTGTCTCCAGCTAGGCCCTAAAGAGAATATTTATGGAAAACCTCTATGGAAACACAGGAGAAATAGGGCTGGGAGTTACTCTATCACAGGCAGTAAGAGCTGCAAAATGGTATTGCATAAATGGTATTAGATAGATCTTCTTTAAAAAAAAAAAATGGTTCTCGGGCCCCTGCACCTGTGTAGGAGACCTGGAGGAAGCTCCTGGCTCCTGGCTTTGGATCAGCTCAGCTCCAGCTGTTGCGGCCATGTGGGCAGTGAACCAGCAGATGGAAGACCTCTCTCTCTGTCTCTCCCTCTCTCTCCGTAACTCTGCATCTCAAATAATAAACATTTTTTTTTTTTTGACAAGCAGAGTGGACAGTGAGAGAGAGAGACAGAGAGAAAGGTCTTCCCTTTTGCCATTGGTTCACCCTCCAATGGCCGCCGCAGCCGGCACATCATGCTGATCCGAAGCCAGGAGCCAGGTGCTTCTCCTGGTCTCCCATGCAGGTGCAGGGCCCAAGAACCTGGGCCATCCTCCACTGCACTCCCAGGCCATAGCAGAGAGCTGGCCTGGAAGAGGGGCAACTGGGACACAATCCGATGACCCAACCAGGACTAGAACCCGGTGTGCCAGTGCCGCTAGGTGGAGGATTAGCCTATTGAGCCGCGGCGCCGGCCTAAACATTTTTTTGAAAGATGGTTTGTAATAGAATCATGTGGGTTTCATCATGTAAATGCGCCGGGCACGATCACGTGAAGTACCTTGGCACTGTGGTGTTGCCCCAAGCACATGGCCGACCCAGGACAGCTGCAAGTGCGGTGGTGCTATCAGTGGCCAGCCTTCTGAAATAGTGACCAGAACCCAGGGCAAAGGGATACCAGCCCTCCCCTTCCCAGTCCTGGGAAATTGGGTACATATTATAAACCATGCTAAATACTCCAATGTGTATGGGAAGTGAATTAGGTTCTGGTCTCAGAAGACCATTCGGGATATGGAGCAGTCGCCCCTCACCTCTAAAACCAGAGTAATTCCTAATCATTGTGACCCCAAAAACAGCACTACACATTTCCCAAATACTGAGGGCTCAGTCCCCTAGTAGCCACTGGTGCAGAGTCTGCCGTAGAAAACAAGAGCAGGGGCAGGTGTTGTGGTGTCGTGGGTTAAGCTGCTGCTGCAGGCACCGCTTCCTGTGTCAGAGAGCCTGGCTTGAGTTCTAGTTCCTCCACTCCCAATCCAGCTTTCTGCTTATTCAGCACACAGTGGCTCAAGCACTTGGACGCAAGCTACCCACATGGGAGACCCAGATCGAGTTCTGGTGTGTGTGTGTGTGTGAGTACACACACTACAGAGGGGACTGGAGACTCAGGGAGAGTTGCCCTTGCACTCTGAAGCCCTCAGGCTTTCGGGAGTCAGAATCCCTTTTGTTCAGGAGCCCCCCCGTCCTTTCTGATACAGCCTCCACCTGACTGGGTGCAGGCCAAGTGCACACTGTGAAGGGTGATCTTTACCCACAGCTGCTGACTTACATGTTAATGACATCTTGGTGGCCTTTGGTGCTGTGGGTAAGACGCTGCTTGGGCACCCGCATCCCATTGCCTGGTTTGAATCCTGGAGTCCTGGCATCCTTGGAGTCAACAGATGATGGCTCATGTACCCTGTCACCCATGTGAAGAACAGGATGGAGTTCTGGGCTCCTGGCTTCCACCTGCCCAGCCCTGGCTCTTGCAGGTGTTTGGGGAGCAAACCAATGAATGGAAAGTGTGTGTGTGTGTGTGTGTGTGTGTGTGTGTGTATTTCTGTCTCTCTACCTTTCAAGTAATAACATCTGGGGCTGGTGTAGTGAGTGCAGTGAACCAGCAGATGGAAGACCTCTCTCTCTGTCTCTCCCTCTCTCTCCATAACTCTGCCTCTCAAATAATAAACATCAAGCCCTCCTCTTGCAGGGCCGGCATCCATATGGGTGCCGGCTTGAGTCCTGGCTACTCTTCTTCCCATCCAGCTCTCTGCTTATGGCCTGGGAAAGCAGTGGAAGATGGCCCAAGCACTTGGGGCCCTGCACCCACATGGGAGACCTGGAAGAAGCCCCTGGCTCCTGGCTTCAGATGGGCCCAGCTGCTGCCATTGCAGCCATTTGGGGAGTGAGCCAGTGGATGGAAGACCTTTCTCTCTGTCTCCCCTCTCTCTGTAACTCTACCTCTTAAATAAATAAATAAATAATATCTTTAAAAAGAAGAAGTTAATGACATCTGCAAAATAACCTTCACAGTGTTGGGGAGGCCAAGGGTTCCAGGTTCTTGTCTCTAACGCATGAAAGAATTTGAAGACAAGATGTAAACAGATAAAGATTAGCGGATGAACAAGACTTACGGGTAAAGCAAAGCACACACTCAGAGGGGTTCAGGGCGTCCTTTTTTGCGATCTGGAGGCCCAGAGGGTGATGCTTTGGGTGGAGTTGTCCAGGAAAGGGTGGAGACTTCTGAGAATTGGTGATTGCCCGTTTTATGGCCTTTTTGGGAAGTTTCAGAAGTATCATGGAATCGGTGCATGATGGGAATAGGAGTGTCGGCCATGGTAATTTTATGGGAAAGATATTATAATCGGCTGTAGGTGAGCTCAGGGACCTGGTCAGCAGCCATGTTTGACGGGTTCAGGTCCTGAGCCACAGCTTTGCTGTAATAGTGATCTCAGGTTTCCGTCTGTGAGAGGAGCTTTAGAGAGCCTGGGGTGGGAGGGGCAGGGTGACATAGTGCCTCGGGCTCTTTCCCTGACCCCTGACTGTCTCCTTACCTCTAACAACAGCAGCTTCTAGACCTGTGTTTGACCTGCTGTGTATCAAGGCCTCACCACATGGACACAGAGAATTAACCATCACAGCATATGGCAGAGAAGTTGAAACGTTTGTGGTAGGGGCTCAAATGACCGTCACTATCAATACCTCTGTGTGTTTTTCTTTGAAGCATAAGCGGTGTGCAGCGTTCAGACAATGGATCCTACGTCTGTAAGATGAAAATAAACGATGACGAGATTGTGTCCGACCCCATCGACATCGAGGTACAAGGTAAGGCCACGAGAGCTGCTTGTTCCCGAGCCTGTATTGCGTGCTGTTGTGTACTCCAGAGTTAGGCCTGCCTGTTTGTTGCTGTGTGTGCAAACCTCACAACTCCGTCAGCTCTGAGATTTTGCAAGGCAATTCTCTGTTTAGACTTTGGGTAATGATGAAACGAACTCAATTCTTTTGTGTGTGTGTGTGTTAAAAAGGAAGTCTTTTCATCCCATCAAATTACATTTATCAGATATATTTATTTATTTATTTTTTAAAGATTGATTTGTTTATTTGAAAGGCAGAGTTACAGAGAGACAGAGACAGACAGAGACAGAGACAGAGAGGTCTTCATCTGCTGGTTCACTCCCCAAATAGCTACAATGGCCTGAGCTGCGCCAATCTGAAGTCAGGAACCAGAAGCTTCTTTTGGATCTCCCATGAGGGTGCAGGGGCCCAAGGACTTGGGCCATCTTCCACTGCTTTTCCAGGCCATCAGCAGAGAGAGCTGGATCAGAAGTGGAGCAGCCAGGACTCGAAGCGGCACCCATATGGGATACCAGTGCTGCAGGCAGCAGCATTACCCACTAGTCACAGGGCCGGCCCCATGAACTCAGTTCTTGAAGTTTGAGCTCTATTCTACTCAGTAAAAGGTGGGATAAAAAAGGATTATGAGTTTCTTTGTCTGCATGTTATTCACAGTTAAAAAAATGAAGACTTCTTTATAGGAAGCAACATTTTGCATTTTATTACCTAGTTCTCAGTGCCGGCAGCAGAGACACTCAGTCACGTGGCTGCCTGCTTATTATTCAGCATCCTTTTCTGTCTTGCACCTGTGGATGGTGGAACAGGGGAGGGCGGGTGACTTTCCTGGCCAGGGTCAACAGCCCACCCTGGGACTCCTTGTGGGCCATACAATCTGTCAGGTGCACGTTTCAGAGAAACTCCGTGCCATGACATGGAGGGTAAGATGTCAGGCAAGGGATAAAGGTGCTCTCTGCCCCCCAGGAACCTGAACTGCAGGGGGCGTGTCGGCTGCTGCACAGGTGATCTATGGTCTGGGGGTTTGCATGCCTGGTTCTGCAGTGGCAGGGCCCATCAGGAAAGCCTGCAGTGGGATGCACCTTTGTCTTCACCCCAGTGGCTGCTCCTCGCTTCCCCAGGGCTGCCCTCCAGGGCCCTGCCCCCCTGTCCTCTGGCGCCCTGGGAGCAGAGCCTCCCCATCACTCTTTTTCTACTTTCTTTTGACTTTGCTCCTTCCAGACTTTCAAGCAGGTGATTAACTTTTCACCCAGAAGCCTCTCCCACTGAAAGGCCCATTCATCGCCGGCTTATTAGGGAACCTGCTCTTAGTACCCGTGGAGTAGGCAGCAGGCCTGAGGGGTGAGGCGGGGAGGGCGAGGGGGCAGTGAGTGCAGGAGTCGGAGAAGGGGAGCGACGGGGAGGGTGCCCCTGCCGGGAAGTCTCTTCCAGACTCTTGCTCTAAGCCCATCCCAGGCAGGACCGTTCGTGCCACAGGATCCGCTGGGGGTGGGCTTCCTGCGTTTGCTGCTCATCTGGGGAAAATGTCCAGAGGACGTTTTATTTGTGAAATTGAAGGGTAAACAATGCCCAGGGCAAGGACACATGAAGTCCAAGCAGAGTTTTGAAAAACCTTGAAACAAAAAAAGAATTGCATTTGACACCTCCCCCCAGCCCCCCACCCCACCGTGCCTGCTGGAACCAGGTCTGTGAGCCCCCAGAGCACAGTGGAGATGCCTGGAGACATTTAGCTTGACCCGTTCAACACCTGGCACATGCCCAGATACTCCTCACCAGCTTGCTCTGAGAGAATCCTACGTTTCCTTGTGGACCTGATTCTGGATGTCATAGAGGATCTTGGGATTGTACGTGTGGCACGGTGCCTGCACTGTTTTCAGAAGAACACGCTTTGACAAGTGTGCAGCCCCCTACACACGGAATTATCACTCATGTGAAAATCACACACCATAGTTTCTTCTCAAAGCGTGTGCAGTCCTACTGCATAGCTTTGTCTTTACTCTGTTTATTTTGGGAAGAAATACTGAAAACCTGCCAGCCAGGCCCAGGAGCTGGAGCAGGACTGGGTTTCAGAGCTGTCTGTGGCCTGCGTCCTGGTAAAACCAGTTCTGAATCATCGTTTACAGCCCCTCTGGGAAAGTGTCCTAGAAAGCCAACTGGAGGCCGAGTTAGCCACTGTACTCTTTCTTACTCAGCCTTTGGTATTTTTTCAGTTTTATTTATTTACTTGAGAGCCAGAGAGAGCTCTCCCCTCCGCTGACTCAGTCCTGAGATGCCCACAACAGCTAGTACTGGGCCAGGCCCAAGCTGAGAGCTGGGAGCTCAGTCCAGGTCTCCCATTTGGTTGGAAGGGACCCAACTACTTGAGCCATCACCAGCTGCCTCCCAGGGTGTGCATTAGCAGGAAGCTGGAACTGGGAGTGGAGCTGGGACTTGAACCCAGGTACTCTGATTTGGGATAAGGGCATTTTTTTTTTCAGGCAGAGTGGACAGTGAGAGAGAGAGACAGAGAGAAAGGTCTTCCTTTGCCGTTGGTTCACCCTCCAATGGCCGCTGCGGCCGGCGCACTGCGCAGATCCAATGGCAGGAGCCAGGTGCTTCTCCTGGTCTCCCATGGGGTGCAGGACCCAAGTACTTGTGCCATCCTCCACTGCACTCCCGGGCCACAGCAGAGAGCTGGCCTGGAAGAGGGGCAACCGGGACAGAATCCGGCACCCCAACCGGGACTAGAACCCGGAGTGCCGGCACCGCAAGGCAGAGGATTAGCCTAGTGAGCCGCGGCACCAGCCAAGGGATAAGGGCATCTTAACCAGCATCCTGCCTGCTAGATCAACCGCTCACCCATCTTACCCAGCTATAAGGAGGTGAGAACTGGCCATTTCTAAAGTGCTGGCAGGAAAATCTCAGGCTGCGCAGTGCCAGCCCCGTTTCCATTCCCTACAGGCTCCGCGTCTTCTATGGGATGTGAAGCATGCTTTCACGTCACTCTTTCTCTGCAGGGCTTCCTCACTTCACGAAGCAGCCCGAGGACATGAACGTCACCCGAAACACCGCTTTCAACCTCACTTGTCAGGCCGTGGGCCCGCCTGAGCCGGTCAGCATCTTCTGGGTTCAGAACAGCAGCCGCGTTAATGAGCAGCCTGTAAAGTCCCCCTCCGTTCTGACCGTTCCTGGTAAGCCCGAGCATCGTGCTCCTGCAGGAAGTCGTTTGTCTAACAGCAGAAGGAACCAGAAGTTCGGCGACCACTGCTGTGTTATCTTCAATAGGCCAGAGAAGAAGGCAAAAAGGCAGGGTGGCATCTGAGGATAGGAAACTGGGTAGGTGGAGAAGGAGCTAGGAATGGCAGGTGTGAGCGTTGGTAAGCCAGAGTTTGAAGGTGGGGCAGTGGCCTCATGGTTAAGCTGGTGATGTAACTGGAATCCCTGAGCTCGGGCAGCAGAACCTTGGCTCACCTGTCCGTGGCAGCTTGCCAGCCTGGCGGGTCTTGCTCTTTACAGAAACACTGGGTTAAAGACCTCTGTGGTCGGAGAGCGGGAAAGTGGCGTGGTCACGGTGAGCTGTCGCAGGAAGCTTGCGAGTCATTGTGGGATTGTGGCTGAGTCGACATTCCAGGTCATCTTGATTTCTCTCCAAATTAGATGCCCCTAGCCTCATCCTTGTACCCCACCCCGCCCTCCCACCCCACTCCAAGAAGCTGCTGGCTGATGTGTGTGGTGGTCTCTGGGCTGCAGTAGCCAGCGGGACCCTCTGTGGCTCCTCTTCCAGTAAAAACTGCAAGGCCACCTCCCGTCTTCCTTTCTTCACTCACAGCAAATTCTTTCGGAAGAACCGCTGTATTCCTGCAGCTGTCCTACGCCCTGAGAACAGGTGGCGACCTTTGGGAAGCACTGTCCTGGCTTTCTCCCCGCTTCACCGCTTCTCCTGTGTCTTTAGAGGAGACCTGAATGTCGGGGTGCCCCAGCTCATTCCTGCGCCTGCAGCTTTTTGCTCTGAGACTCATTACCACTATGTGGTAATGACCTCACTTTACATCCCCAGCTCAGACTCTCTTGAACTTCAGGCTCATGTACCCAGCTGCTTCCTTAGCTCTTGTGCTTGCTGGATTCATAGACATCTTAAAATGAAACTCTTTTTTTTTTAAAGATTTATTTATTTATTTGAAAGTCAGAGATACAGAGAGAGGAGAGGCAGAGAGAGAGAGAGAGAGAGAGAGAGAGAGGCCTTCCATCCGCTCTGGTTCACTCCCCAATTGGCTGCAATGCACAGAGCTGCACCAATCCAAAGCCAGGAGTCAGGAGCTTCTTCTAGGTCTCCCATGTGGGTGCAGGGGCCCAAGCACTTGGGCCATCTTCTACTGCTTTCCCAGGCCACAGCAGAGAGCTGGATTGGAAGAGGAGCAGCCGGGTCTCCAACCAGCACCCACATGGGATGCCGGCACTTCAGGCCAGGGCGTTAACCCGCTGTGCCACAGTGCCAGTCCCACCTCAGAGTCCCCATCTTGGTCAATAATGTCACCGTGGTCCACCCTGCCTTTCCTCAGCAATGTCGTCGGTTCCACGTCTGCTGTCTTTTCACCATCTCTGTTGCTGGCTCACTGGTTCCCGTCACCACCATCTGTCATCCGTGCCACCGCAGTAGCTTCCTAGCTGATCTCCCAGCCTTGTCCCCACTGTGTCCACCCTCCCCAGCAGCAGATCCTGTCTCCCACCTGCTGAAAACCCCTCAGAAGCTTCCTGTTATCTTCGACTCTCACCCAGGCTCTGCCCTGGCCTTTGACCCTGCCCAGCTGGCCAGTGCAGTCGCACCCCGCCGTCTCCAGTCTGCCCATTAGGCTGCAGTCACGCTGATGGTCTGATACCTTCAGACACATCGCGTTTCTTCCTGCTTCTGGACCTTTCGCCCTATCTCTGCCATCTGCCCGCCACGCTCTTCCCTCTGCCCTTCGTCCCGGGACGCAATCCAGAGACGACGTCCTCAGACTATTTTAGGTCCTCCCCACCCCTTTATTGCTTCTTGGGTAACTCGTTCACTGCACTTGTCCTAGTCTGTAATCACCCTTAGAGGATGTGTACTCAGTGGGTCCAAGGACTTTGTCGCTCCCGCTCACCGAAAAGCTGACTCATAGTAATATTCAGTAAACACTGATGGCAACAATGGGTCAGCGAGTGCCAGCCCCTAGGTGCTGTCTCTGAGTCACTCTTCTTACAAAGAAAAGATTTATCAGTTTTCATTTTTTTAATTTTAAAGGCAGAGACATAAAAGGGAGAGATCTTCCATCTGCTGGTTTATTCCCCAAATGACTGCAACAGCTGGGGCTAGCCTAGGCTGAAGCCAGGAGCCCAGAACTCCTCCCTGGGCAGCATGGACCTATGTTACTTGTGCTGTCATCTGCCGCCTCCCAGGGTGGGTGCACGTTAGCAGGAAGCTGGATTGGAAGCAGAGTAGTCAGGACTGGAAGCAGGCCCTCTCATAAGGGGTGTGGATGCCCCACACGGTGTCCTAGTGGATACACTGATTGCCCACCCTCTGAGTCATGTTTCCAATCTTTGATTTCAAGAGGAATGTTATGGTTTTCTCTGCCTTCATCCGGGTTTTCTGTTTTTCCAAGGAATTCATAATTACGTAATTTCTTTTTTGAAAATCAATGAAGATAAATACAGTTCAGCTTCTCTAGGATGGTAGATTGCTCTAGGGTCCCATTCAGACTTTTTTTCATTGAGAAAATATTGACCCACAATTAAATGAATGGAACTTAATATACACAATGCGGTAAGTTCTCCCGTGTAACCCCCCTGTCCGTCCAGGTACAGAACAATGCCGTCAGCTCAGAGAGTTCCCTCACGGGGCCGGTGCTGTGGTGTAATACACTAAGCCACCGCCTGCAGTGCTGGCATCCCATATGGGCACCAGTTCATGTCCCAGCTGCTTCACTTCCAATCCAGCTCCTTGCTCATGGCCTGGGAAGGCAGTGGGAGATGGCCAAGTGCTTGGGCCCCCACTCCCATGTGGGAGACCCAGAAGAAGCCGCTGGCTCCTGGCTTCAGATCAGCCCAGCTCGAGCTGTGGCAGCCATTTGGGGAATGAAACCATGAGTGGAAAATCTCTGTCTCTCTCTCTGTATGTAACATTGCTTGTCAAATAAATAAATAAATCTTAAAAAAAAAATTTCCTTCATGATCCTGTCCATTTGGTCACTACCTCCCTTGGGCAGCACTGTTTGATGTCTATCATCATAGGTTAGTTTTACCTCTTCTTGAATTTCAAATAAATAGAATATAAAGTATGTGCTGTTTTGGCATCGGGCTTCCTTTTCCTCAGTATGATGTTTTTGAGATTCATCAGTAGTGCATTATTTTCCATTGCTGAAATGCTCTGGTTTATGAAGGTCTAATGTTTGTTTAGCCATTTGTTTAGTGAACATTTGGGATGCTTATGGCCGTTGGCTGTTACAAGTAAAGCAGCTATGAATATTTACATGCCAATATTTTGGAGGGGAAGGTATTTTTATGTTGGCTTGAGCAAATAGGTAGAGAGGAATTGCTGTGTCATATGGTGTATATAGGTTTAACTTTTTTTTTTAAGATTTATTTATTTAAAGGCAGTTAAAGAGAGATTTTACATCTGCTGGTTCACTCCCCAAATGGCCACAATGGTGGGAACTGGGCCGATCCAAAGCCAGGAGCTTCTTCCAGGTCTCCCATGTGGGTGCAGGGGCCCAAGCAGTTGGCCCATCTTCTGTTGCTTTCCCAAGCTCATTAGCAGGGAGCTGGATTGGAAGTGGCGTAGCCGGGAATTGAACTGGCGTCCATGTGGGATGCTGGTGCTGCAGATGGCCACTTTACCAGCTATGTCACAGCTACGGCCCCTCGGTTTAACTTCTTAAAGAAACCACCACACTACTTTCCAAAGTGGTTGTACCAGGTTACAGTCCCAGCAACAGTGGATAAGAGTCCCAGTTCCTTTATCCACATCCTTGTCAACATTCAATATGATCAGAACTTTCTAAATTTGACGTTCTAATGCATGTCAAATGCAGGTCATTGTGGTTTTAATTTGTGTTTCATTTCCCTGAAGTCTACTTTTAGATTAGATTTACAAAAGATTTTGGCATCTTTTCATGTGCGTGTTTACCTATCACATATCTTTCTTTGGTAAAGGGTCACTTCACGTCTTTTGCCCATTTCCATGTAAATCTTAGAATGAACTTGACAGTTTTAACAGGAAGTCTGCTGTGATTTTGTTTGCTACTGTACTGAATTTGTAAGATGAGTTTTAGGGGGAAATAACCTCTTGATGTTGAGACTTCTGATCTATAATTATATTACACCTTTAATTTCTCAGCAATTTTTGTAGTTTTTGATATAGAAATCTTATGTCATTTATTAAATTTAAAATTTTTAACTTAAATTTTATATATCTAGGGCATACATTGTGATATTTTGATATACATAGACATATTATATTTTACTTATTTTTTAATTTGTTTATTTGAAAGAGTTACAGAAAGAGAGAGCGAGATTTCCATCTACCGATTCACTCCCCCCAAACGCCTTCAGCAGCCAAGGTTGGGCCAGGCTGAAGGCAGGAGTGCATAATCCAATCCAGGGCTGCCACGTGGGTGGCAGGGGCCCAAGCACTGAGGCCATGATCTGCTTCCTCTCAGGCGCATTAGCAGGAAGTTGGATTGGAAGTGGAGGCGGGACTCAATCCCAGGCACTGTGTTATGGGTTATGGGTATCTCAAGCAGTGGCTTAACCTGCTATGCCACAGCATCTGCCCCCACTTTTTTCAATTTAAAGGTTTTTTTCCTGTATAAGTAAAATAGTAATTGAGCAATTTATAGCCTAATAGCATCTTTTTAAAATAACCTTTATTGTAGTAGTGGTTATAAAAGCTACGTGTGTTCAACTTACGTGCAGCTGCACACACATAAATGAGTAGGTGCACAGCTGGTGGAATCTGAGTAAGCTCTGCTGGCACCATGCTGGTTTCCTGGTTTTGATAGCGTACGATTGTATGTAAGATGTTAACACTGGGGAGGTGGAAGGAAGGATGCTGGGGCTCTCCCTGTGTATTTCTTTGTGACTTTCTGTGCATCTATAATTATTTCCAAAAAAAAACTTTAAAATTCATGATTTTACCTAATTATTAGACAATTTTATTTTTAAAATG